TGTAGTTACTAACATCTACTTTAACCCACCGATTTTGAATGAAAACCCAAATAGCCCACAAATGATCTCCACTTACAGAGAAATATCCCAATTTTCCGTGAAACTTGATCAGTCTCGATGCATACGGTCTGAAGTCATTAATAATAGAAGGTGTAAATATGAGTATATGTTCTTCTGAATAAATATCAAATCGCATTATGGTATCATTAGATAATAAGAAGTAAACGACACCGCCACTTGTAACTGCTTCATCAGAAACATGATAAACAGATGATGGTAACTGGATATTTTGAAACTCCCTCCATTGCCATGTAGCAGATGGATAAATTTCGTTATTACCATCCTAAAAAAAAGAACGTTTATAAAAATAAATATACAAAATAATAAAGTTGTTTTATGTAAATGAAGTTAATATATATAACCTCATGAAACTGATGAACCAACTCTTGTGCGTTTTTTTTATAAGCTTCTTTGCGTCATAATCATATAAAGTAAGTGAGACCGAACCGGTAATATCTTCAACTATAATGGTGATTTTAAAACTGAAAGCATTGATGTAAACAGATTTAGTAATATAAATTTATATAATTTAACAAAACAATATAATAATATTTATAAAATAAGTTTCAAAACCTGGGAACAACATAAATGACTTTGTTCATGCAGTTTGAAGTGTTACAATAAAAAACTTCTTTATCTTGAAAGATAAAAAAGTGTAAAAAAAAGTATTAAAAATAGAAAAAAATAATATTGTTAATTAAAATTTAATAAAATAGAAATAAAATTTAACGATAAAGTATCAACAAATTTAATAACATAGAAATAAAAGAGAAGAACTGAAATCGATAAACATCCATATTTTTCTGCCAGGAAATATTCAGTAAAGTCCAACCTATTATCTCACTATATACAAAAAAAACATTTTATTATTATTAATTTTGTTAAAAAAAACCAACCTATTTTGTTTTATCGTTTAAAAGAAACAAAGTTACAGGTATCCAAACAATGTGATCGGCTGATTATATGACCTGACACAATTAATAATATGAAGAAACCGACATATTTAATTGATTATTAAAACTAATAAAGCTATATAACATATTTCATTACATAGAATAAATTCCAGTGAAGGGATCAGGAACCAAAATCACAAGATTTTGAATAATTGTAAATTTATCAGATTGATAAAAAAAGAAAGGAATAATAAGAGATTTCATTAAATAGACTAAAGTTTATTATTAAAAATAATAAAGTTGATTATTAAAATTATATGAATAGAAGTAAAAAAGCATAACAGAAATCGAATTAAAATTTTTTTTAATAGAAATAACATAAGAATTTAACAATCTAAAAAATAAAGTGTGTAAAAACAGTACCTCCTGGTCAATTAAAATCATGTCTAGGCTTGCGACCATATTAGGATTGTTTATATAGGTCGGCTTCCAAAGCATGACGACTTTAACACGTATGTTCCGAGACTCTTTGGATGCATTGATTTCAGCAACCTTATCAAAGACGACCTGATCTGCATTGTTAGCTGTCATGGAATACTATTATCTGCAATGAAAGGAGATAATTAGTTAGAGAGAAATTGTTTGTGAATGAAAAATCGTAGAGACTATATTTATAGGGAAAATATAAATTTGGTAAATGTTGATATGACATAGAGATTTTGGAATGTAATATCATTTCCATACTTAAAATATATGATATCGAAAATAATTTCAATATAACATGTAAGATATAATTACAAAAATAGATAAAATCATACCTAATTTAAGATAATAATTACCATATAAAAAACTGTAAATTTAAAAAATTGTAGAATAAGAAAAAAATATAATAAATATATAATATTTAAAAAAATATGAAATATAATTACAATAATAGAAGGTGAGTACAAACCTTTCTGTGGACATGATTCTGCTACTTCAATTGTACGTTTTCATCAATCTTTGTATATTAGAAAACAGTTTACTATGTTCCAATTAAAATTTGTCACTTGGACTCCAAACAAAAGAATTGATATAAAATTTCAAATATGACAAGAAAATATTGGTTGATGATGTTTGAGTTCAAAGTAATTAAACGTAAGTGTTGATATTTTAATGAACAATAATTGTATGTGAGCTAGAAAGTCAAATTCTGACTTTTGTAATGGATGTTAAGTTGTTAATTTTGAAGGATAATTTAGGAAATAGGACTCAGATTTATAAACTTTTATTTTCATTTGAAAATTGCGACTTTAATTTAACATAAAGAAAAAACAAAACAAAAGGTTTCGACATATTTTATAACACAACAAAATTTGGATATGCTAACTCAAAGCAATATTTGTAAATACATTATTTTCACGCAATTTAGCCCACTTTAAGTATTAAGATTATAAGATTCTCTTATAGATATCATCCGACTTTTGCTGCTCCAAAGTTTCTGATTCATTCTGTAAAAAAGAAACTTCTGTCATGATGAAGTAATGAACACTTCATAAAAAAAGTAACCATATGATTATATGAACAATATCTTAATACTTAATACCATTTTGATCTGCTCATGCTTAGTGATAATATTTTTGACTTTCTTGTTGGCATTCTCTAGCAAGTTTGTAAGATCTAATCAAGAAGCAAAGTTAGCATATGTCAAAGTAGATATTGTCTGAAGCAGTTCAGATGAAAAATAAAGGACGAATGATTCAAGCATATAATCATTAGTACATGAGACACTTTAGAAATTAAATGCATGACTACTATTGATCAACTCCTTGAAATACCTGCACTTATATTCTCAAATGCAAGACTACTATTAATCGGTTCTCCTCTTGTTTGACTCATGGTACACCTGTAGTAAAGGAAGAAAAATAATTAAAAAAATAATAATAATAACAAAAAAAGGGAACACAGAACCTTCCCATTCTATCATCTGATCCAAGAAAATTCATATCAATCCTCTTTCTAGCCATTCCAAAGAGAAACATTCCATTACCTGTAATTTGTAATTTTGAATTAAAAATGAATGTAAAAAAGAAAATTGTAGAACGTCAACGAAAAAGTCAATATCACTTACAATATCAACAAAGAAAGGTCGATCTGGATCAGCATAAATTGTGTGCCAAATTTTCACCTATAAGGGTATCCCCGCAGTCAATAAAAGGTGATCAACAAATTAAAAAAGTTGACTAATTTTTTTTTTATTTTTAAAAAAAGGATTTTTTAAAAAAGGAAGAAAAAAACAATCAGAGAAGGAGTAAACTAAGTACTAACCTGTGTATATGTGATTCTCCATCGTTTCAGAACAAACTCAACACCTTCTTTCAGTGTTGCTCTTCTTTCTTCTTTATTGGTCCAAAGCTCAGCCAATGGATATCTGCCACTTCGATTGTACTCATTGAGCTCTTTTAGGGCTTTCACAACCGCATTGGATCCCTGAGATAACCTTCCCATAAAGATATAAACTTGGTTGTATCCTCTTCACTTAAACAACATTGTTTAGCAGCATCCATCAAAGGGTTTGCATCAAGCTCACCAATTCTTGTCACGCTAATTGTAGAACAATATCCACGAACATGATTATCTTCAAAACCCTGTTTGTTGTAAGAGGGGTAAAAAGGTAATTAGAAGATAAATATAGCAGCATCCATATGATTGATTATATGAAACCTTCACTGTATTCTCTACTCTGGGGCAATACGGACATTTATACACCTTTTCTGAAACCTTCATTTTGACATTTATACACCTTTTCAAGTGAACCCATATTTAGCTCAACTGTATCAAATCCCAGCTGCTTACATTCCTGTTATGGTATACAATACAATTTATTAGGGTAGAATTGGAAGTCAAGAAATTCATGAAATGTGATTTGACATTTTGTGAGTTGTGACAATAGCTAATTACTTGTATATACTCTTCTTCAAGAAGATAAACCTTTTTGAAGCAGATATTCGGCCCAATCACCTGTACTAACATATATATCATGTTCATGGGCTAATTTTGTTGATTCTTTAATGAAAACTCAGGAATATCTTATTACTTTATGAGACACTTTAGAAATTAAATAATAAATACCTCTGTTAAAGTTGTCAATGATGATTTCATTCTGTTGAATAACAAAAGCCATATCAGAATCAGTCCAGCTTATAAGTTCTTGACTTCTTTTGCTCGTTTCTTTTAAGAGAGTTTCCAAGCCCAATTGAGGATCTCTGGTTCTTTTAAAGGTTGATTCAGAAGGCAACCAACCACAGACGCCTCCAAGGGCAGAATCGGAGAGCGGTCTTTACAGCGAAGCCATCTGATGTAGAACACATAGGATCGAAAATCGTTGATGGTCGACGCGGTGCCCCTCAGGGCTTCCTGGGGTTACGCATAGGATCGATTCCATATCAGCAGAAATAGAACACATAGGATCGATTCCATGTATATATGAAATCAATGGGGTTACGCATATCGGCAGAAGGAAGGGGTTAGGGTTCATATCTATTGAGTTTCATGGGGATGTCGATAGCTCTTGGCTGATTGTGTTGATTGTGTGGAGAGAAAACCTAAGAATGAAATTAGGAATGAATCGTAAGAAGGAAGTTTTATTCGGGAGGCGCGTGTATTTTTTTGGGTTAGGATGATGTCAGCAAAATGATCCTAAGGTGGAGACTAAAGGAGGGAAATGCAATCAAGAGCCCTTGTTTCTTCATTGTAGAATTTAAGGTTCTCTTTTAATATTTAGAGAAATTAAATGTGCCACAAAAGTAAAAAAAACCAAAATACCCCCACGTGGGAGACATGTGATATGGCCTAACGACTAACTTACCAAAAATGACATTCCATGCAAGTTTTGCAAACCACAATGGCCATGTTCATCAAAAAAATTAGTAGAGATTGAGATTGTGACATTTAGTAAACCAAATGGACCGTTTTCGTAATATTATCTAAAAACTAGCAATGATATTTTTTTGAGAACCTATTGGACCATTTATGTAATTGTGTATATTTTATTTTGTAAAAGTGGAACAAATGGAGTTCTGTTGAGGTCAAAGAAAGCCAACGTAGGCTGCCTTCACAAACCCGAATCAAGGCTTCGAAATCTTCTCTCCTGATACTAATTTGCTCCCTGTAGACAGACTCAAAGCTTTGCAACAATGGCGACATCAACAGTATCGTCCTCTTCGTCATATTTTACAGGGAAATCGGATGAAGAAATCGAGGAAATGCTTGATCGAATGCTTACTCGATTGGCCCTTTGCGATGACCCCCAACTCGAAAACTTGCTCCTTAAGTTACTTCCTGTTACCATTTCCTCGCTCTCACGTCCATCCTCTGCCGTCAGAACCAAGGTATTGTCTGCGATTTCACTCTTCTTATCCAGTTTGTGTCTGTAGGTTGCTCAATTCGATTAAAAGTGTCTGACACCTCCTTTATGAAACCCGGTATAGTTGTATTAGTTCGACTTCTGTGACGAGCTATTAGATGCCGTGTTGTTGCTTATGATAGTATAATCTGTATCATTTTACTTAATCACGGTTAGGAGGCAAGATGTTCGTGTGTGAATATGCGATGAACATGAGAGCTACACTTTCATTTCCCATATTAAAGAGGTTTTATGACTTCTAAACTGTTTGAGACAGCTTTGCTATCTGCACCAAGTTTTGTCACTTTTGTGAAATCATAACAACATCCTTATGTAATTAGCATATGAAATGCACTAGATTCAACACCCAAAATCATATTTCTTTTGAAACCAAGGAGTATACTTTTTTTCTAGTTAGACTCTCCTAATGGTCGTTGAGAGGTATTTGGAGTTTTTCTTACTTGGTTCCCCCTCCTTTCCACCAGTTAAGATCATTTTCTGAAACCTTAAACACTAACAAGTCTCTTAAACTCTAGCTATCAAGTATCAATTACTTTAACTTTCATATCTAGTAAACTTCCAGGTGTAAGCAAATTGATCTGCTCTGTATTCTTCTGGTCATGGTGAAAAGAGGGTATTATATAGTTAATCACATTGCTACCCTAAATGTTCATATGCTTCTGGTTGATTTCGAGTTTATTTTCACTATTGAGATGGCTGTGAAAATTTGTTAGTTTTTGTTGATTATAATTAGGTAATGGAAATCCTAAGCCATGTCAACAAGAGAGTGAAACACCAGCAACAGATAGGTTTGCCTTTGGAAGAATTATGGGAATTGTATATGGAAGCTAATGCTGCTCCAATGGTTAGAAACTTTTGCATTGTGTACATTGAGATGGCATTCGACCGTGTCAGCAAAGAGGTCTGTATTGTTATCTTTTCTCTATGGATTCTCTAAAGGATATTTCTTTCATGCATCATGCAAAAGTTTGCAAATCGCTTTTCTAAAATCTGTCTTTCTTGTAAACAATTCAGAAAAAGGAAAATATTGCACCCACTATGATAGCTAACATCTCAAAGCTTCCTCCTCAACACCAAGATATAATTTTCAGAATAGTCATAAAGGTATGTTTTACTTCCAAGTTCTATCTTCTAACCACTTTTGACATTGACAATGCCGTCTTCCATTATTTGTTTTTCACTATATGCATAACTGATGATTAATATACACCATCCATCTGTTTTTAGGTGATTGGTGAATGTCACTCAAGTAAAATTAGTGATGAAATTGCTGCAAAGTATAAACTCATAAGTGGATCTCAAGACAAAGAGATGTTTGTTGAGTTTTGCCTTCATACACTTTTGTATCAACCATCATCCATTAGGTTGGGATCCAGTTTGCTTTTTAGTACTTCTTTTTTTCTATTCAATTGAATATCATCATATATTTTTCTTGAATCTTAATAACTCAATAATGCAGTGGGGGATCCCCACCTGGGCTTTCAGTTTCTCAAAGCAACCGTGTGGCAGGGAAGACTCCACTGAATCATGACATGCTTCTCATTAGAAAGGTGAAGCTCATGGCCTGTTTTACCACTTATCTCTGTGTTCTTGTAATTTACTCTTTTCTTTTATTAATGATTTTCTTCACTTTGTTTTCTGTTTTGTAGTTGGGTTTGCTGAATGTTATAGATGTCATGGAGCTTCCAGCTGAACTTGTATATCCTCTCTATGTTGCTGCATGTGTTGATAGGTACATGCTTGTTGTTTATACTTTATATTTCATCCAATGAATTTTATTGCATCAAAATCTCATTATGTTTTTGGGTATTGTTCTTTCAGACATGAGCCTGTTATTAAAAGAGGCGAGGAACTTTTGAAGAAGAAAACTTCTGGTGTACAATTAGAAGATTCTAAGCTGATAAATAGGCTGTTTTTGCTATTCAATGGTATGGAAACTTGAACCATTTGTTATCTATATGAAACAGGAACTTCATTGTTTATTATCACACCAACTTTAAGGATAATATTAAGCTTAGATTGCACAATATAGCAACACACTTTACTCTTATTTCTTCTAACTATCTCACAACTAACTAACTGACCAACCCCCTTTAATCTCCAAATGAGTTGACTAATCTACCCTTATTGTTTATAAGGGAATGTTGGAGCTGAACATATTGCTCAAGATTTGAGGGTCAGTCCTGGGAATCCTGCTTTACGAGTGAGGTTAATGTCGGTATTTTGCCGGTCAATTACAGCAGCAAATAGTTTTCCTTCAACTTTACAGTGCATATTTGGCTGCATATATGGTATGTATTAAATAATAAATATTAATGTGTGTATTGGTTTGTATATCTATTATTGGATTTCTTTTAAATGTTAACAATGTGCTAAAAACATCTGTTACTTTTAGGAAATGGTACCACATCAAGGTTGAAGCAATTAGGAATGGAGTTTACTGTATGGGTTTTTAAGCATGTAAGTGATATGTTTTTTTTTATATAAAATTACTTTGGAAGAAATTTATGTTACAATGTTCCATGGTCAACACAATAAAGAGTCACATTTAAAAAAAAAAAAAAATTCTTTATCTATAAAAATATACAGGCAGAAATTGAGCAGCTGAAACTAATGGGCCCTGTTATACTTAGTGGTGTTCTTAAGTCCCTTGATGGTTATACAGGTTCAGAATCAGGTGTTTCTCTTAAAACCTTTTAAATTAATTTGACTTTTTTTTTTGTTGGTGGAAATTTTAAGAACTTATAATATTTGTTTTTGATATCACATTCAATATAGATACAATTGCACGGGAGACCAAAACCTTTGCTTTCCAAGCAATTGGATTGCTTGCAAAGCGCTTGCCTCAACTTTTCAGGTTTTTATTTTTATTTATTATTTTTTCATCTATTTACTAATTTTTTACTATCGTTGACTTATGTTATGGTGTATACTTATTCTTCAGAGATAAAATTGACATGGCTGTTCGGCTTTTTAATGCTTTGAAATTAGAGTCTCCATTAATTCGTCTGATTGTCCAAGAAGCAACCAACTCTCTTGCTGTTGCATATAAAGTATCATCTCCAAATTCAAATCAAGTCACTTTTTGTAATTTTTTACTTCCTTTTCTTCTATATCCAATGATTTCTTAATCCTGTTTTGGTTAATTGTCAGGATGCACCAAAAAACAGTCTTAAATGATTTAGAGTCACTTCTCCTGGAAAATTCTCAAGTGGTAAAGTTCCTTAACATGCTCTGATTCTTTCACATACCTGTTTTTTACTTTGTTGGTTTAAATGCAAGAAATAGCAACATATTTTATTTATAATATATGTTTCTTATAGCATCCCACTTTCATTTCTTCCTATTAAAGCATTGTACTTTGAGAAATCTACCCTATTATAGCAATATCATCCAATTACAAAGCAAATATCACTGCTATTTCTTTGTAGGTTTTTCAAAATACATTGTCTTAACAAGAAACAAATTCAAAGTACAATGCCTTGATAGGAAACAACTTGGAACTATAATGTTGTAATATAAACAAAGAAATAAAAGAACACTTCTATTTTTTGCATTTAACTTCTTCTAAATTCTAATCCATGATGTTATTCTTATTCCCACAAGGAACAAGGTGAAGTACGATTTTGTGCATTAAGATGGGCTACAACCTTATTTGACTCACAGCATTGTCCAAGCCGATTTATCTGTATGCTTGGTGCTGCAGACACTAAACTGGATATAAGGTTTGTTTTTATTATTTATATTAATCGTCTTTTAAGAATATATTAATTAATATTTATTTCTTTACAGGGAGATGGCATTGGAGGGTCTCTACCTTGGGAAAGATCAAAGTAGATCCACCAGTGAAACCCTAAATCTCAAATACCCTAAACTGTCAGACATGCTAGATTACATTGTTAAACAACAGCCTCAATTGCTAGAATCAAGTGAAATTAGGGAAGAACGGCTTCTTTTTCCATCTCAGACATATATTGCTGCAATTAGGTTTTTGTTACAGTGTTTTGAGGCTGATGTAGATCAAAAGATTGCAACAGAAACAACTGTAGGGAACATGTGTTTATTGTTGGAGCATGCAATGGCATATGAAGGTTCTGTTGAGTTGCATGCAACTGCCTCCAAGGCTTTGATTGAAGTTGCATCTCACTTTCCAGAGGTTTGTGATTTCGTTATATGGATGTTAATTAATTTCTATTATTGTTTTTTTTTTTTTTTTTTTTATAGTTCTAATGTGTACTTTAATTTTAGGTGTTGGCTTCTCGTTATGCTGTTAAAGTACCATGGTTAAAGCAGTTACTAGCCCATGTGGACTTAGATACACGAGAATGTGCAGCTCGATTACTTGGAATCGCTTCTTGTGCTCTTCCTATGGCTGCTGCTTCTGATCTTATTCATGAACTGATTTCATCTATCAAAGGATCAGTAAAGTCAAGGTTTGTGCATTACAATGCTTTTAAATTTTTATGCTTATGGATGCTTTTTCTTTTTGTAATTGTTGGAGAAGAAGGGCATGGTTGGTTGGTGGATTTTGACGGAATTGGAATTTCAGATTCCATTCCATGGTGTGTTTGGTTGCCAAATGGGTGGATTCCAATTCCTGCAGAATCCTTCTATTAGGTCGAATTAGGTGAACTAGATTGTAGGGGGGGGGTGGAAGGAATTCAATTCTATTCTACCTCCTACATTAAAAGACCAAAATACCCTCATTATATATGTACAGCAAACAAAAAGTATTATTGTATTCCATTTCATTTCTTGCCAACCAAGCACATTACAATTTATAATTCCTTCTGATTCCAATTTCCTTGATGGATTCAGTTCCTTCCAAAAACATTCTATCAACTAAACACCTGATAATAGAGTCACTGATTGGGTTTAACATTGTTCATCAGGTTTGAAATTCAGCATGGAATTTTATGTGCTCTTGGATATGTCTCTGCAAACTGTTTGTTAAGAACTCCTACTGTAAGTCACCCTCATCTCTCTTGCTCAAATCTGTTCATCAACCTTCAACCTTTAAAAACATGGATTTGACACTGTATAATTATTCTGCAGATCACAGATTCATTGCTTCAAAACACACTGAAATGTCTAGTTGATGTAGTCAATTCTGAAAGTTCTACATTAGCTTCAGTTGCAATGCAAGGGCTAGGTCATATTGGGCTATCTGCCCCCCTACCAAAACTTGCTCATGACTCTCACACAGGTGAATCTAGAGAACTATATGACATGCTTATCTATTTAGCTACTGCTAACTACTTGCTAATTCTTTCAACTTCAGATGATGTCTTGACATTTTTACGTGAAAAGTTAAGCAAGATTCTTTCTGGTGATGATACAAAATCAATTCAAAGAATTGTTCTATCTTTGGGGCATATGTGTGTCAAGGAATCATCTTCTTCCATCATCAATGAGGCACTTGACTTAATCTTTAGTCTTGCTCGATCTAAGGTAGATAAAATTTCTTCAGATTACTCTTTCCTATTTTCTATGTAGTTTCATTGATTTATTTGTTAATTGTTATAGCACCCTACGTTCGTTTTTTTCCTATTACAACATCATACTTTGAAATATCTATCAATTATAGCAATGTTGTTCATATAAAAAAGCAATTTTCACTGCTACAATAAGATTTTTTTCCAAAGTATATAAAACTACATTTCTATTTTGAGCAGGTTGAGGATATTCTTTTTGCTGCTGGTGAAGCTCTTTCATTCTTATGGGGTGGAGTTCCAGTGACTACAGATATGATCCTGAAAACCAACTACAGCTCACTCTCCATGACTTCAAATTATCTAATGGCAGATATACCCTCAGCTATCATCCCAACATCTATTGGGCTTGAAGGAAATGAAGAGTGCCATGTTTTTGCTAGAGATACGATTACTAAAAAACTGTTTGATAGTCTATTATACAGCACCAAAAAAGAAGAAAGATGTAGTGGAACTGTTTGGTTAGTATCTCTCACAATGTACTGTGGTCAACATCCATCAATTCAACAATTACTTCCAGATATTCAGGAAGCATTTTCACATCTAATTGGTGAGCAAAATGAACTCACACAAGAACTTGCATCTCAAGGTTTAAGTATTGTATATGAACTTGGTGATGAATCAATGAAGAAGAATTTGGTAAGTGCATTAGTTGGCACGCTGACTGGGACAGGAAAGAGGAAAAGAGCAGTGAAGGTAAAGTTATTTGTTATTTCATCTTTGTCATAAGTACATAGTTATATATACTTATATATATACATACCAATAATAGAAATATGTCAGGTAAAGAAATGCAAGTACTAATTTGGCCTTGTTGATGATAGTATAAATATAATATGGTGGTGTGTATTTAAGTTTTTAGGGGTTTTGTTGTTTAGCTTGTTGAAGATACTGAAGTATTCCAAGAGGGGTCGATTGGGGGAACTTTGAGTGGAGGGAAACTTAGTACATACAAGGAGCTTTGCAATTTGGCAAATGAAATGGGACAACCAGATTTGATTTATAAATTCATGGATTTAGCCAATCATCAAGCTTCTTTGAATTCCAAAAGAGGTGCTGCTTTTGGATTCTCAAAGATTGCCAAGCTGGCAGGTGATGCATTACAACCATATCTTCGCCAGTTGGTTCCAAGGCTTGTAAGATACCAGTACGACCCTGATAAAAATGTTCAGGTAAATGTCGTATGTGGAGTTTTATAATTGTTGTTAACTTATTATTATTATTATTAAGTTGAACTGTTTTATTTTTCCTATAGGATGCAATGGCACATATTTGGAAATCACTTGTTGCAGACTCGAAAAAAACTATTGATGAATATTTGGATCTGATTATTGAAGATATGTTGGTACAATGTGGGTCCAGGCTTTGGCGTTCCCGTGAGGCTTCCTGTCTTGCTCTTGCAGATTTAATCCAAGGGCGTAAATTTAATCAGGTTATTATTTTATTTTATTTTATTTTTCTTCAGAAATTATGTATTTAAACATTTATTTGCTTAACTCCTGGGAATTTTGAAGCATTACATGAACACCGTAATAGAACCTATGGCTCCCCAACTTTTTTTTTAAAGGGTTAAGTGCAAGAAAATAGCAGAGCTCAGTTTTACTTTTTTGTTTATAATAATATCATGCCACTTTTATTTCTTCCTATTGCAGCACTTATAGCTATGTCACCCAAATACAAAGCAATTTTTCTCTTTAATAAGAAAAAATCAGAAGTACAATGCTATAATTGGGTAGATTTTTTCAAAGTGCAATGCTATAATAAGAAAAATAATGAAAGTAAAATGCTGTAATTGGGTAGATTTGTCTTAGTAAGAAAAGATTTGCAAGTAAAATGCTAGTATAATTTTGGGTAGTTTTTTTCAAAGTACAATGCTATAATATAAGAAGAAAAAGAATTAGAAGTAGAGAATGCTACAATAAAAAACATAAAAATGAAAGTACATTGCTATTTCTTGCATTTGATTCACTGATGCTGATCAATGAAAAAAAATACACTTGTATTGTAGGTTGGGAAGCATCTAAAGAACATATGGACAGCTGCATTTCGTGCTATGGATGACATAAAAGAGACTGTTAGAAAATCAGGGGAAAGACTATGTCGTGCTGTTACTTCATTAACATTAAGGCTTTGTGACATATCTCTCACTGAAATTTCTGATGCAAAAAACACAATGGATATTGTTTTACCTTTGTTGCTCACTGATGGAATTATGAGTAAAGTTGATGACATTCGCAAGTCATCAATTACCATAGTCACAAAGCTTGCAAAGGTACTAACTACATCACCACTCTAAAATTTTCATTTACTTTTAATTTTAATTCTATGTTTGTGTTTTCAGGGTGCAGGCATTGCAATCCGCCCACATTTATCTGAATTAGTTTGTTGCATGCTTGAAAGCTTATCAAGTCTTGAGGACCAAGGACTGAATTATGTTGAGGTTTGTCTAATTATATGTGCTAATAATAATAATAATACTTATTTGAGGTTCTTTTACTGTTTTTGGTCCCTGTTCTAAGTAAAATGATTATTTTTGTCTGTGAGTATAGCTTATTTTTGTAATGTCTTAATAAGAAAAATAAAAATGGAAAATACAATAGTGTAATAAAAAGAAATGAAAGTACGTTGCTATTTCTTGCACTTAGCCCTTTGTTATATACTCTTGAAAGTATGTTGCTCATTTTTGTACAACAGATGCATGCAGCAAATGCTGGGATACAAACAGAAAAGCTTGAAAACTTACGAATTTCAATTGCCAAAAGCTCTCCACTTTGGGAAACCCTAGACTTATGCATAGATGTTGTTGATGACCAATCACTAGAACAGTTGGTTCCACGTCTTTCCCAATTAGCTCGATCTGGTGTTGGCCTAAATACTAGGTATATTTATATTACATTTCTTTCTTTATAAACATTAAAACCTATTAGTTAATTGCATTTGATATTTGTGCACAGGGTTGGTGTGGCAAGCTTTATTAGCCTTTTAGTTCAAAAAGTTGGTGGAAGTATTAAACCGTTCACAAGCACGCTTCTTAGACTCCTGTTTCAAGTAGTGAAAGAGGAAAAAAGTGGTGCATCCAAACGCGCCTTTGCAAATTCTTGTGCATTTGTTATAAAATATGCAGCCCCTTCACAAGTCCACAAGCTCATTGAAGAAACTGCTGCTTTATATAATGGTGATCGAAATTCACAGATTGCATGTGCTCTTTTATTAAAAAGCTACGCATCGACAGCTGGCGATATCTTAAGTGGATATTATGCAACAGTTGTTCCAGTTATTTTTCTCTCAAGGTCGCTTAGCTTCTTTTTCAACAACACATTATTACCTTTTTTTTACAATGATAATATATAATTTAAATTCATATTGAGGAATTATATATGCAGGTTTGAGGATGATAAAAACGTGTCTAGTCTTTATGAGGAATTATGGGAAGAGAACATGACAAGTGAACGTCTCACACTTCAGTTATATGTAAGTGAGATTGTTACTCTAATAACTCAAGGCATTGCTTCATCATCTTGGGCTAGTAAAAGGAAGGTAATTTTAATTTTTTAATTTTTTTTTTCATTTTCACTTCTTGTAAGCTCCCATTTTTAATGAATCACATGGTTATTTTTGTAGGCAGCTAAAGCAATTGTAAAGCTTTGTGAAGTGTTGGATGAATCTTTATTTTCATATCATCAAGTGTTGCTCACATCTCTTATGAATGAGATTCCTGGACGTATATGGGAGGTAGGTTTATTTATGATATGCTTGTTGGAACATCAATAGGGGAGGGGCATAATGGACTTTTTTTCATATGGTACAGGGAAAGGAGGATCTACTGGAAGCCTTGTCTTCTCTTTGTACATCTTGTCATACAGCAATTTCTGCTGCTGATCCATCTTGTGAAAGTGCCATATTAAGTGTGGTAACCTCAGCATGCAGTAAAAAATCCAAGAAATTTCGCGATGCAGGCTTTAGATGTCTAGAGAAGGTAAAAAAAAGTCAATCCTCTTCTACTAAAGTCAACAGTTGGGAGAAATTTTCAATCTAGGTTTTAACATAAGTAAAATAAACAACTCCCAAATATTACATTTTAAGAATATTTTTATTTTACCCAACTCACTTTAGTGTCCCTTTCCATTTCTTTTAGTTGTTATTTTGTGAGAAGTAAATTCCTGTTTTGAGAACTTTTTATCATTCTTTAATATTTTCAAACAATGACTTGGCTTGTTACATATGTGATAGGTTCTAAAAGCCTTCAAAAATCCAGACTTTTTCGGTGTGGTGTTCCCATTAATGTTTGAAATGTGCAATTCAGCATTCAACTCTCTATCCAAACAAGTGTCTTCACCAAATGACACTGAAAAAGCAGGTCAGATATACTTCTTTTTTTAATTCTATGAAAGTATAAATGTTGCTATTTCTTGCATTTAAGTAGTTTACGTTGATATAATGCAGAGGCACATGAGAAAGAGGAATCTTCTGTTCCCCATGAAAAGATTATGGATTGTGTTACATCTTGTGTTCTTCTTGCTCGATTAAGTGACATTCTTAAATGGCAAAAGGATTTGGTACATGTGTATCTAAATTCCCTAGCACCTGCTATTCCTTGGATAGGTATGCACTTAAATTCCTTTTTATAGTTGATTTTTTTTCAGTTTTGGTCACAACAACTTTTCTCTTGCAAATTTGGTCCTTATTTGTAAAGTTTTTGGTCCTTGAATCCTTGTTCCAAGTAAAATGACTATTTTGGGGACCAAAAATAGTCACTTTCTTTGGAACAAGGACTAAAATCATTACAAAAACCTCAAATAAAGACCAAAATTTCAAGAGAACTTTTTGACACCAAAATTGCGAAAATTAGATTTACTCAGGGACCAAAAATGTAATTTACTCTCTTTTAGAAAAAAAAAAAATCCTTTTATTGGATATAAATCTCTAGAATGTTTTGAACAGTTAAAGTTTCGGTGTTCACATCGATTAAAGAGTTATGTTCGAGGATAAATGAAGGGTTAAAAGATTCGGATAAATCTAGCCAACATGTTGATACATCAGCATTAGCTATAGAGGTAATAAAATATCTTTTTCACCTCAAGTAAATATATAAATCTTAGATTCTATCTAATTATAATTTGTTTTTTTTTTTTTATACCTTCAGTTGTTTTATTCTTTATCACCCAAGGTGATCGATTGTATATCCATAGTAAAGATTGCACAGGTATGTCATTCTTTCTCATCTCATGCTGTTTATTTTAATCATGATCATGGTAAATGACCATTTTGCCCATTTGTTTTCAGGTTCACATAGCAGCTTCTGAGTGCCTTCATGAACTAACCAAGCTATACAGAGACCTTCCGGAAGCATGCATAGCAGAGATACCTTTTAAAACCGAGCTTCTCCATCAATGGGAGATTGAAAAAAACGAACAGGCAAAGTCATATATGAAGAACTGCATCGACATTATTGACACTATTCAACACAAAATTCTCTAGAACAATTTTTATCTTCCCGGATTTTGTACATTCATAAAACTTTTTCTTTTTTCATTGTGTGTGTTTTTTAATCTCACAATCTTAAAACCCTAGACTTGGTTATATACAACAATTGATCTCAAGAGTCCAACACTTGTATCAATTCTTGCCCTACGTTTGGGATTTTTGTTTATCAAGTGATAATGTCGACAATATGATTCTAGGCGTGTATGTATATGTATTATCATGTCGACGATATGATTCTAGGCGTGTATATATTTACTTAACTATTACAGCAATTGAAATTTGAAAATAACTAAATTGTAGTGATTATAATCTAAAAATAAACAAACAACGTATGATAATAATAACACAATTACGTTTTTTTGGCCATCTAGAAACATGGTCCACGAGCAGAGCATACAAATGATCCAATAAGCAGTAATTTTAAGTTTTTAGACTACCATTAGGATAGAAATTATTATTATTTTAAGAAACTTATAATGATAAGTTGATAACCAACACAACTATTAAAAACAAATAGCAAACAAATAAAGAGCTTCTAACTTCTAAGGTTAAAGAGAGTAACGTGTGAAAATGGTGCCACATCACTTCACAAACCATTTCACAAGACAATTATTCAATTCGGAGAGAGAGAGAGAGAGAGAGAGAGAGAGAGAGAGAGAGAGAGAGAGAGAGAGAGAGAGAGAGAGAGACCATCTTTTGCTTAGGCTAAGGGGAATCATCACGTGTGAATTGTGAATGAAGATGAATAATGTATTAGGTTGTAGAAATGGTGTTCACCGGTGGATTGGTAGTGAAGGGGTAGAAAGAAGAGAGAAAAAGAGAGTGACCGTTGCTGCTGCTTGCTTCTTATTAGTTGTCTTCCATCTTTGTAGAGACTCCACAACCAAGCCACCAGACATTGGGGCGTTGTTCACTCGTCCCTTAGGTTGCCACATAGGCTTTCAATTCACGCGTGACCGATGCTCTATTCCCGATAGCCTTAGTCAATAAGACCCTCCGTGATGTATACCACTCCACAAGATAACCACTAGGTTTTGGGGCGGTGTCACCGGTGGAAACACCCCTCTACCTCAGCTTTCACACTTGAAAAACCTTCTATACTGGAAGGCCTTAGAGGCGCCAATTAGGAGTGATAATCCAAGTCATCATCGATTGGAAATAATTTAATTAGGCTTTCTTTCTTTATTTTTTTTTTTTTCAGTTTTACTTTAATTCCGTCGCAAAACGTTATTTATACCGTCCTAAAATAATAAAATAAAAAAGAATAGAAAATAAAAGAAAATGCTACAAAGCCTGCTATATGCCGCGATAGCGGACATAATGGTTGTGCTATGGCTGGTATTGACAATACTTAACGTTAAGTGGCGATTTCATATTTATTTTTCCATAATAACTTTCTATCTTTTTCAAAAATATTTTACATTTCCTTCAAAATAGTGATATCTTAATTTTTTTTTCATTATATATTTTTCTACTGTACTATAACAAATATTTAGATTTAATTTTATTATTAAACATATTTTAAAAATATGCTTAACTTCAGTTACTAATATTGTAGGTTTTTTTTTCTTTAAACGATGAATAGTTAGAGGGTAACCCAACCCGAAGGAATGCCTGGCGGGCCACCACTCATCTCCAGAGGGAACGAAGAACCGAACCTGCACCAATCCTGAAAAAATCCCGCACATATGCTCAGCTAGGAATCGAACTCCTGACCTCACCTACTGAGGCCTATAACCCGGATGCATCACTACCGGCTAGGCTGATAATCACTTGCAATATTGTAGGTTTTTAAAAAATTAAAATTTGTTGATGTGAATTTATTATTTAATAAATGGAAAATTGTTATTTGTAAAATAGTTATAGATTCAGATCTAGACAGTTTGATTTAATACAAAAAAAAAACATATTTATATCAACAATAATTTATCTTCACAAATATCATTATCAATTAAATATACTTTATCAATACATTACTTAAATAAGGGAAAAAAAGACAAAGGACTAAGTTAAGAAAAGTGTTAAGTAACTTGACCAGGCCTTAACCATGCATCGATTAATAGGTTACCCACTTACCCTTGCCTATGTTTACTAGATTTAAAAAATAAAATAAAAACAATTAAGAAAAATAAAAAATAAAAAAGATGGATATTTAATTCGTTTTGTGTAACACCTCTCGCATGAGCTGTTTCAAAATAGTTTATTAAAATCCAAAATTTGAGTCTAAAACTTTCAACATATGCAAAATTTGATCATAGAACTTAAGTTTTAACAAAGTTGTTTAGTTACGAGGTTGAAACAATCAATACAAAAGCAAAAATTAGAAATAAAGTTCTTTGAGTAAGAAGTATTCTAGAAGATCCAAGCAATCTACTCATCGTTTCACCTAATCTAAATAGTGAATACATGTCAAAATACAAGTGTTATGTGACATTCCCATTTTCACGGCCAGAAAACACTGATTTGTTTATGTTTATTTAAAAATTAAAGTATCATTTTTGAAAAATAGTCTTGCGGAATTTTTCCCAGAAAACATGATAAAGATGTTTATCAAAGCATTTCCGAAGAAATGTATTTTTATTTATATTAAAACATTGAGATGTAATCATCAATACAGAAAGATAAGCATAACGAAATATTACAAGCCTTACAGTAATAAAACTAGTGGCCTAATACTCATTGAATCTCTCAGCAGAATGTATCTTTCATATAGCCACATGTGATACAATAAACTGAGTGGGTCAGATTGGGAAACCTGCTGAACACATAGGGTTTTCAACCCACAATAATATAATTATTATGTTTAATCATTAAACAATTAATCCAATTTTCCATCCCATTATCTTCTTTATTCTTAAGAATCTACCCTAAGAATAATATATTCTTCATTTATTTATTCCTAAGGATTGTCCTAAGGAATAGGCACGAAATCCATCGCTGCCAGGGTTTATCCAACAGGCACTAAGTCCATAGATGTCGATGTTGTCTATTAGGCACAACTGCCAATGTTCATTTGTAAGGCACTAAGTTCATATCTGTCAATGTTCATTTGTAAGACACTAAGTCCATAGCTGCCAGGGTTTTTAGAGTACATCTGGTGAACACGTCATTCACAAACACCTACAGGTTGCGAGTCTGGTAGCGTTCCACTGGACTGTCTAGAATAGTCTGTAGTCGTCATCTATACTCTGCTCTAGATGGCTGGATCATCGTTAAAGTCAAGGATTCTCATTATCTTTCACCTCTCATCATCTATATAATCTTTCATCTCTCATCATTCATCTACCCATCTTTACCCAATATATTTATAAGTATAAAAATACATATACAGTTTAAATCATGTAAAACATGTATAAATCGTTCATCTAGCATAGATATCAGGAACAAATATAATAAGCACATATAGCAAGTAATATATATTAAATACTTCATATCTATGTGTAAGATGAAAGTAGCTATGCACTCACTTGTTAGAGTGACGATTCGAAATTCGGACACCACTTCGCTTCTAGCGATTGTCTTTTCCTTTGACGTAACCTAGTATTATTATCACTAAGTTTTAGTCTATTATTTATTGCAACTAATTATTAGTCTAGATTCATCATTAATTCAAAGTCTACTTTCATAATCTATCAAGTAAAGAACAACCAGGTAGGATCATAGTGGAGATAGGGTCTGTTTCGTATACTGTTTGGAAATCCCACTTTAAACACCTCACTAAATCACAGCCTAGACATCATCCCCGTAAGTAGATCAATCAGTATAATGACTTGGAATCACTGATAAATCTTGTTTATAGGTTCATAATAACGATAATGAACTTAAACATAAGTTATACTTAAAATATGGTAAGCATAACTCACTTACAAGGGGGTTTAGCGAGGAACCGGACTCTACGCGGACATAACTTCTGAGTGTAATGCTCGATTCAGGTATCATTTATTTCTCAAAATTTTAGGGTTTTGGACCGGAACTCGACGAGTTGGGGAGCTCCAACTCGTCGAGTAGGGATCATTTTGGACGCGAGATTAAAGGTCTACTCGACGAGTTGGAAGCCCCAACTCGACGAGTAGACGCTTGAAAGGAAAACCCTAATTTTCAGGGTTTGTACCCTATATAAAGAGCTTATGGCTCATTTATGGCCTCCTTCATCGTCCTTACAACCCAGAGAAACCCTAGTTTGAGCCTTATACCTTCTTGAGTGTGTGTGAGAGCTTTGGAGAGTGATTTTGGTGTGGTTGTGAAGGAACTTGGAGCTTGAAGAGGTTGGAGTAAAGGGAGAAGCAGTAGATCCGACACCTACTCTGTTTTGGCAACCATCTTGAGGTATAAAGTTGCTACCTTGACCTTTATTTGCTTAGATCTCCTCCTATGAAAGTATTTGGCCACTTTTTGGTGCATAATGATGTCATTCTCGGATTTGAACTTGTCATGAGGATATGGTTTCAGATCTGGACACCTCTAGGCCTCCATGGACATAAAGTTGTCCACTTTATCTAGTCTTGGCCCTCCTCCATGCCCTAAACCTTTTATTAAAACTTAGTTTTAGTGTTTTAGCCTCTTTAGGCCTTGCATTAACATAAAGTTAGCAACTTTACGTGATATTTCAGTCCTAAGTGACTGGATCTGTAGTTTGAGGCTTTAGATTCGACTGGAAGGGCTGAATATGTTAAGACAGGGGAAAACTCGATGAGTTGTCCTGGCAACTCGACGAGTTGGATCGGGTCTTCCCTTTTTCTGTATACAGAGTGAACTCGGCGAGTTGATAAGATAACTTAGCGAGTTGGTTAGGGTTTTTCCCCATTATTCTGAACACCGAAGGAACTCGACGAGTTGCTAGATGCACTCGACGAGTTGGGTCAACATGGACTGTTGACCTTGACTGTTGACTTTGACTTGGACCATGGTTGACCAAGTTTGACTTTGAGGGTATTTTTGGTATTTCAGGATTTTGACAAAGTCAGTCACATGATGGTTGTAGGCAGTTGAGTTGGAGGTGTGCGTTGGGACTTATCTTATCAGTTCAACATTTCTTGAGAGGTGAGTCTCCTCACCATACCTATGGGTCGAAGGCACCAAGGCCTATCCATTATTTGTTACGTGATATGCTAGTTGGTTATGTGATTTGTGGTATGCTAGTTATT